GACAAATGATCATAACTCGTCGGTACCGAGGATGATGTTGTCGCTGTTGCTGCTGCTGTGGTTGTTGCTCTCGTTGTCGTCGTTCTCGTTCTCGTTGTCATTGTTGTTGTTGCTGCTGCCTGTGCTTGGCTGGACAGACGAGCCATCAGGCGGCTGCAAGAAGCACAGCTTACTTCAACTGCGCAGCAATACTGGTCCCGGCCATGCCACCAGCAGGAGCAGCATCATCGCCATCGTCATCATCATAATCATCATCACGCCATCAAACATCATCACCATCACCAGCATCATCATGAGCATCATCATTACCACGCTCATCATGATCGCTACGATCAGCCGCAGCATCCGTTTCATCGCCATCTTTACACGCCAGTTCCAGACTCTAGACCCTAAACCCTCATCCTCGCAAGCAGACCATGCCGTCCGTGTTCTCTCTTGTTGCTTCGATGTTCCGCATGGAGTCAACCAGCATGAGTCTTGGCTCCCTGTTCAACATACCACCTCAAAAACCATGGCCGAAAATCTTAACTTCACACCAAAAGACTCGATGGCCCCTGGCCCCTGGCCCTGGAGCGGATAACAACCCCTGGAGCGTCCTTGAGCCAGCTCCGGAAAGCCTGCGGCACGGCTTGCATCCCTATATTTCACGCCGACACTGCTGGGATGTCGAAGCTAGGATTTCAGTATGTTGAGCTTAAGATTACGCTTACGAGGTGTCGAACAGCGAGGTAGAGGCAACCTGGAAAACAGCGGTCGGCACAGCACCATGTCCACCCTATCCACGGAAACATGCGCAGGGCCACGACTCCCCCGCAACTCAGGGAAGTGACACGCCCCTACTCACTTTATCGAGTCAGTGTATACGAAGACCCGGAACCTGGAGAAATGCAAACGAGCTGAAGCCAGGGGTGTAGGGGGCTGCATAGGAACCGCCGAGCAGATGTAACGACATCAAATCCACAGTCCCTACAGCTTGAAGTGCGGTGCTCAACACGACGTCTCTGACAGTCTCTGCACATGGAACTTGCAAGCGAGCTGTTGGAGCATGGTGCTATAAAGGCCACGGTGTATGGAACCCCAAAATACTCCGGATGCAGGCGGTCGCGGGATTACCGGAAACCACGCGTTTCGGATCTTTCAGGTTGGAGGTTTCATACCCTAGCCGCCTAGCCGCAGCCCCACCCTGTCCGCCGCCACATACACGTCTGTTGTTCTCCCGGTATCAGAACCAATCAGAACCGAAGCACTCCTTCTTGTCCACAAGGTCCTTCCCATGCTTACACCTTGAAGCCGATGTCATCTCACAAACTCACGCCTCTGCATCTGCGGTCGGAGGCTGCGCAACACTCACATCGCGCAACGTCTCGTGGCTGTGACCCAGCCTGAGTCTCCCGGAACGAGGCCAAGGGAAATTCGTGGTGCAGAATACAACATATTCACCTCAACGCAGTATTGTCTGGGTCGTCACGTAAGCTACTGCGCTTGTCAACGAGCACAGATACATGAGTGGGATGCTGCAGGCACACATCAGTTCTGTTGTGCAGGGATTGGACATGCAAGCTTACACCTGATTGCCGAGCTCAAATTCCTCATGTCGAAAAGAACAGCTGAGTATGAGCTTCCAAGCCCCTTGCACTCCCAACCTCGCGAAAGTACACCCGCAACCCCACATCCCCAAGCCTTTCTCATGCTTCCCAACCCGTCAACATCCGTGTCTCAACAATCTAACCTCTGGCCGCAGGCAGATTTCTTCCCGAGCTGAGACGTTTGCATGGCGGAGGCTGCAGAGGCGTGGAAGCCTGGAAGGCTGCCTGTCACTGCATTCGAGCGTGATCTTGTGAGATCTGGGTAGTTAAGACCTTCAGGAAAACTATTGGTTGTCGGGGCTCAGCTGGTTCCGGGCCTGTGTCTTCAGGCTTCGGTGCTTTGATGTTCACGGTGAAAAGGCTGCATTCAACCTTTGCTGGCCCTCAACTGAGCGCACAGTTGACCTGCCAAAAGCGACTCGGACGATATCGAGCGGCGACAATGCTGGTGATTGTGACACTGACGGTGGTAACGGTGAGTAGGCAGCTGATGGCCAAAAGCAGGGCAGATGACCTGATGATGATCATCATGAGGATCTTGACTATGACGGCGTGGGTCGCAAGGCAGCCCCAGCGCGCGAGTGCCCCTTCATGAAGCACTGCGCCTGCCTCAGGCACTGATGATGTTGATGGTGACGACGATGAAAAGAATATGATAGCTATGCAGAACGAAAGCGAAAATGAGCATCGGTATGTTGCAAATGAGCCTAATGTTGTGTTCAGCTGGTGGTCATAATAATTGGCGATGGCGACGATGAAAACGAATGTGGTGCTGGTGCTTACCAACACATCTGTGCTCGGACTCGGGACTTGCAAAGCACACCCAATCACGATGACTTACCCTGCACTTAAGATCAAAGGCACCGAGGTGCTGGTCAGGGTCTGTCGAGCTGGAGCCTACAGTCCTAGTCCTCTGCTACCGTCATGGACTTAAGTGCCGCGCTTGCATTCAAAACGGTCCGCGCACTTCCATGCTTTCGAGTTTCGGAACATAGAGTAGGGCCGTAGGGGTGAGAGAAACACCCACCCAGCATCCAACTCTGTAGTCGTACTCAAAACACACACACACACACACACACACACACACCCGTTCTTTATTAACCTGAAATCTCTTGCTCTAGACACGAAATCTTGAATCTTCAGATTTCAAGGCGAAACATCGAACCTCAGAATCGTAAGCCGGATGCCAACCCTCCCGTAAGCAGGCAGCACATGCTGCGTTTGAAATAATCATCCCTGAACTTTTGGGCTCCCTCACAAAATCAAACTTCAATGATGCAAAGTCTGACCCAGGATTGACCAGGCCTGTGCCGCCCTCATCTGCTCCCTCCGAGCCCGGCAAGCCCAAGGGCCTCGAAAGGGAGCGGGGGCGGGCGCTCGCTTGCGCTTACACAATGCAATGGTTGCGACCTACGCTCTCAAACCTGCCAAGGGAAGCTGAGGCGCGTGTCGAAGCGGAGGCCATGGAAGAAGCAGAGACCTCTGCTTCTCGCTTTCGCATCCAAAGTTCAGGTCCAGTCTAAACCCAAACTTCCGAAAGCTGATCCAATTGTCATTCTTTAAAGGCCTGAAACCCCTCAGCTTCACCTGGGGATGGCAAGCAACCCTTGCACGGGCCTCGCAGGAGTGAGATGGCCACAGCCACCGAGGGTGCGAAAAGCAAAGTCTTTCCACCAGAACGATCCCATACCTGGACGCAGGAAATTCCCAGTGCACCTCTCTCTGTGCAGCACATTCTACATTTGCACCGGTCAGGCCTGAAAGAACCGAATCGAACCTGCTACTCGGCTCGAAAAACTCCTTCTAGTTTCGCAACAGCGAAGAAGTCCCTCGCACGGAATTTCGGGGAGAGGGAAGAGCTTATCGGGCTTGTATGCAGTCACGGGCGAGGCGCCGCTTGTGACAGCGCAAAGATGCAAGTGAAGAAAGCGCACTCAAACACCGAATTCATACAACCACGAAGCTTAAGAGGCTTGGGTTTGACCTCAAGGATGGCAGTGTTCACCGTGCTAAACAAACAAACTCCAGTCTAGTTGCTTTATCCCCGAAGCCCAAGAACTCAAAGTGATGATGTAAGCTGGGACAACCAGTCCGCCTTGCAGCGGGATGGGCTGGACACCTCAGGGACGAACACCCACTTCGGGTGCATGCTGAGCCTTTTCTTGCATCAGCACATTACCATTCCGTACGCAAATGGAAGTTTGCACGCAGAATCAAACGCGCCCGAGCTTGCCATCTGAGACCCCCGCAAGCTCCATCAAGCGCCCTATGCGGAGCAAGGCAGTCACGTACTCATCACCTTTGGCTCATGAAGTGTTTGCAACTAACTGCTCCAGCTGTGCTTTGGGGTTCAAGTGCTACTTCGAAGGGAGCATTCGACTAACGACACTAGGGACGAACGTGAAAACTTGCGAGTTGCTGTGTCCGCCAGATCTTTCGGCACATGTAATTACATTCGAGGTAGTCTTCTCTTCTCTCTTGGTTACGACATGACGATCATCACACAAAGTCATTCCAGTGTTTCCACAACATTACCAAGCAAGCCGCGAACAACAAACGCGTGCCGCAAGCCTAAGCTCGCAAACTCTGCTTGCAGACGACCTCTACAATCCTGCACCAGCCTGAGGCCTGACACTCAGACCAAAGCTACCAACTGCGCAAGCCAACTACTCTGAGGCTTCTCCTGCCAAAAAACTCCTGGCACACCCTGATCAGAAATTTTGCTCTGTTTCGCAGGGAGTTGAGTTGGAGGCGGTCTCAGCCGGTTAGGGAGCAAGACGGTTAGTGCCAGGGTCCCAGCTCAGGAGCAGGTGCCGTGGCTCGAGCCCGGCACCTCGGAAACTCGGCGACAGACTCGGCGAGTGTTCTCATCTTCGGAAAGCCGACCGGGGGCTGACGTGCTGCTCATGCTCAAAGACAGTGCAGAAGTGCAGAAGAACCCGCCCAAAGCTCTTGTCTGATCTACATCCGAAACATGCTTTGTAAACCGAAGCCGTAGCTCCGGAACCCGGAAGTCCGGAAGCTCCTCGCTCTTCTTCAGACCCTGAGCCGGAAGTCCGAGGTTTTGTCTAGAAGTTGGACATCCCAGGATTGAAACCCGGTCTTTTCATTCCTCAACCCGTTCGTTAAGCATGTCTCACCCGCAGTATAGGACCGACTTCCTTTTTCGGCGTGCCGGTTCGGCGAAACCACGCAAGCTCGGCATCCAGATACCTCAGCGCCGAAGGTTTTCAGCGCCAAATCTGTACTCTACACAGAGTGACATGACCCCAAACAGAAGAAGACTTCGAAAATCAAGACTAAGACCTAAAAGCAGGGAAGTGAGACCTTGTCACGTTATAGCTCGATACTACATCGTTCGTGCTAGCACAAGGCAATCGGCAAGCAGGGCTTCGGAGGTCTATACGACTGTAATCATTTATGGATCGTTGGTCGTTTACAGAATCGAGCACCCGGGGCTTCGATACCTCCCGAGTTGTCAACCAAGAAAACCACCCACAAGTCAATCTGGGTCCTCGCGATACGTCATCTTGGACTGATTTTGAGCAATTAGAAGACGAGAAAGCCGTCATTGCACACTTTCCACGTGTCTGGCCTTCTGCAGGAATATAGGCAAATTTGCTAGCAGAAGACTTCATATCCGCAACTTCCTAGTGGAAACACGCAACTACGTGTGAGCGCACGAAGCTGCTGCAGCTTCGGACAAGAAGATGATGACCGACCATGGTGACGACGAAGACGATGAATGCATCCAGTTAAAATACACATGAGAGCATGAACTACATGACGAATTCTGAAGATAAACATGAACAGTGTGCGTGGCTTTGGGCCCAAAACCATGCATCAGCCGATCAGCCAAACCCTAAACCCCTAAACCCGCTTTACCCCTAAGCCCTGAACTCTAAACCCGACCGCCCGATTGTTTGATCACCCGATCAGCCGGGGTTTGGGGGTTTAGGGCTGTTTGTTAGGGTTGATTGGTTGATCGCCTGATGCGCAGTTTGGAAACCCACTTTGCGAACGCAACGGGAATGATTTCCTCTTGACGACAATGAGGATGACCATGGCCAGCTGACGAAGATGCATATGATGAAAACGACGTGGCAATGACAGTCCTTGTCTGTCTGATGGCGACGAAAGAAGGTCTGATTGAAACTGGCGCTTGCAGCGCTACTCTTTTTGGTTCCCTGTGGGTTTCGAGCAACACCCAACAACAAGCCCATACAGCCAGCAGCCAGCTGGCAGTGCCCACTCGCCCTCCTCCGCAGCCAAGTCTTTCACGCCGCCGTAGCCTCCCAAAGAGCGAACAAGCCCTGTCGTGTCAGGTTTTTGGCTTTGGGTGTCTGCGCGAGGCCGGCAAAGACCTAACGCATGCAGAAGCCGCAGAGGGCCATGTTGCGTATCACGATGTCTCCCCAGCGTCGCACAGGGCAAACCGTTGGCGGGTGCAGCGGCCGCACAAAGACCTACAATCCACATGGAAAACCGAAAGCCGCCTCAATATCCACCGCAATCGATTGAAACTGCGAGGAAGCCCAACCAGAGATCAAGTGCTCTGCTCGTCCCGGCACATCGCGCCTCGAACAACTGCCCGCGTGAAGCCGGCGTCGTCCTTCCGGGGACGCGCCGGAAGATCGAGACTGATGAAGCGAAGAAGCGCAGTACTGGCAAATCTGTCTCGGGCTCAGGGTCGAGGCTCAGAAAGGCAGGGGTAGTAGCAGGCTAGCAGACATCTTAAACGGGCTGCAAACTCTATGCTCATCGGAGCATCTGCAATGCGACAAGTGTGCAAGCAAGGTCTTGGGATGCAGGTCAACCGAACTACCTGCTAAGTGCTAATCTTCACAATTAGCTGCCAATAGCTTGTTGCACTGACGGCTGCCTTTGTGATAGCGACAGCGGGATCCATGTCTTCTAGTGATTCTACTGCAATCCAGTACGTACCTTACTCCTCAACCCAGTGGAACCGCCAACTATAATGATGATCTCAGCCAGGGGACCTCCTTCGTAGCCGCCTCAGGTGTGGCGTTGTACGTGAACTGCTCCACAACCTGCAGCCACTGTAAGACGGTAGCAGCCCGAACGCATGATCTCCAGCATCATACAATGCCCTAAACCGAGTTTCGCGAGCCCCAGACAACCCCACGACCCTACCTTTCGAACCTCAAAATCTGGACCCAAGCTGAGCAAGCCAGACAAATCCAGAGCTGCAGAACTCAAACCATCATAAAGTCTAAACTCTAAAGGCCGAGAAAACAAAACCCGCTAAAACCTTAGAGCCCAAAGTGAAGAACCTCAAGCTGCCTCCCGGCGCATGGCAACCCCCGAGTTGAAGATCTCGTGGACCATGTCGTGCATGTGCGCGGCCTACGACTCCAGACAGCCCCTCCACGCGTTTCTAGGTTTCAAGGGTCCTTCCAAGGTGTGCAACAGTGTCACACAATTATTTTACTCCTGGCTTCTTGGTACCGCACTACTTACTCGCAATTGGGCTTCATTTGACTTGTTGAGGATCTTCGCAAACGCAACGACGTCAGATGAAGCCTCTCTTGCAATGCATGTGCACATATACATGTGTATATATATATATATGTATACAGTTGTATATACTATATTATATACAGTTGTATCTACTACATACATACAGTGCAAATCTTGAGATCGAAAGGAGACCTAGAAGTGTGCATGGAGAGCTCTAGGAACATCTTCGTAGCAGAGTTCCTCTTTCGATCCGCGGCCGAGCACTTGGACACCTTAATGGGGTTGCTACCTTCGGCTTCTTAAGCACGTCGGAGTCTCATTATTTCGCACGAAGGCATACCAACACCGGACTTGCGGTTATCGCTCGTGGTGCGGCTGTTCTTGAAAACAGTCTGACTACTGCCGCAGTGTTGCACCCCGTACCAACGTCCTCGCTAGAACCCTGATGAACAAAGTACACCGGTTGTGCAATTGATCATCTCTGAAAGTTGGCGCCGGTGTCATTACGATGTCATGACATCTCTGCTTACTAGTTTTTCTGTGTTGTGTTGACCTTGCATTTGTGATGGTCTTACTGCGGTTGTAAAAACTCGCAGTCTTGCCTCTGTTGCTGCTGTGTGTAGATTGAAAAGGCCTCCTTGGACTAACGATCTGAAGTATCTGAAGACGTGAACTTAGCTTGGGGATGCGGCCTGGCTCGTCTGGTCCATCATCATTAAGTCCCGGCTGGGCAACCTGCACCACTTGAATCGAGTGGCTCTCACGGATCTAAATGCGATGCTGCAGCGCCTGCATGCAAGTTGACACGAACTTCGCTCAACGTTCATACAAGCTCAATACTAGTCGCGAGGGCTTCCGCAAGCCCGCTCCAGGACAGGTCTTGTTTTGATGCTCCGTTGCCAAAATGGAACACATCTGGCTCTTCGCGGTCGAAGATAAACGACATTCGATCTGCCAAGCAACACGCGCAAACGGTCAGTGAGATCGTACCGCACGCAGGTCCGAGTCTGGCTGTTGTTGAAGAGTGGGTAGTAGCCTCCGGTAATGCTTTGTGATCTGTTTGGATTTTCAAACGTCAGCAGTACTGCCATCATTTCAAAACAGCTGCTTTTGCAACAGGCCGTTCTCTTGCTGCTGAAGCTTCAAGTCAGTCTCGATGTTTCGATAGTTCAATAAGCCACGAAGGGTACTTGGTCTTAGAGCTTTTTGTTCAGGCTCGCGTGATACTCATCATTTCATGAGCATGCTCTTCCATACACCAGCACACGCACACGCACACGCACACGCACACACACACACACACACACACACACACACACACGCACACACACACACACACACGCACACGCACACGAGCACGAGAAGTCGTCTTATCTTCACAGATGTTGCTGCGGCAACAGACATCTCCATGTCTACGTTTATGAGGGATGCTCGTTGTGTCGCGCGGATAGTATTGTGGTTGCTTGCGATGCCCCTGCTTGCTACCACAGCAGCCTTCTTAACCGTTGGTTGCGGCCCGGAAGTTGTGCTTAAATCACACAGTTCGGCGAGAGGCTGTGCAGCAACATCTTGAGGCCCGGCGTAGAAAAGAAGGCCTTGCCTGGCTCAAGACAGGCGACCGCTGAGCAGAGCTAAGACTTCTGGCCCACTGTCTCACTACCTTGATCCGGAAGCTTCTTCTCCACGCTAAGGTACGGCCCCGAAGTTTGCTTGGAGACCCGCATGACAGGTAAGTACTCTTTGAAGCTTTTCTGCCAGAGACTTGTCACCACAGCATAGCCGTCGCCTCTGACAGGAAGGTTCAAGAGCTTTGGCCCTCTGAATGTGCGTCGATCAAAGCTTGGAAGCTCTCCCCAACTGCCGCTACGACCACGAACCTGCTTTGTGTCCTGTCGCTTCTAGCAGGATTTGACTGCCAAAGTGATTGAGAAACGCAGGGATGGCGACGACTACAGTGCAAGACTCACCCAGCTGTCTGTGCTAAGGTAATCTTGTGAAAGAAGACTGAAGCAGCCAGAGTGCTGATGAGCTCAATCCGCTGCGGGTGCATGAGGTCGTCCGCATCGAACACAGACAGGATGTCCCCTGCTGCCACTGTCTGCCAGTAGCTTCGGGGCAGGAGCACTGCTTGCAGTGGGCGCTTCTGCATTCGATGACCGTTCCTCGACTCCCGTCTCCAAGCTGGCAACCGAAACCTAGCCTATGCCGCTCTTGCCGAGGCCGGCTTTCTACCGGACACCTTGACTCAAGGCTGATGCGACTTGCGTCTATCAAAGCTCAAGCTTGCCTCGAGCTCTTCTCAGGCCTCGATCTCTGTTCTCTGCGGCGCTTGCAGGACCTTAACAAGGTCTCCCGCTTCCCAGCGGCTCGGGGCTGTGCCACGGAACAAGCTGTTGCTCCCAGGCACGGCTTTCAGACATAAGTCACAAGTATGGATTTAATAAAACCTGCCCCAACAGGGGCACTTATGATAGGTGGTCAGATGGGGACTTTAGTGATCCTAAAACGTAACCGCCGAGAATTTCGCCTGAGAAGGCCATTGACAAGCCCGTATATGCACGAGATTTTCCCCGAGCCTGAGACTGCAGCAAGTTCCAAGTAAACAGGTTTACCTTGTAATCCGTTACGCCAGAATGAAGTCTCGGTACACATATTTACAGCCCCTGAATTGCCACACTGCTAAGTAGGTGACGCTTTTTGAACCATGCAGTTACTTTTAGTTCTGCCACCGCTCTATGCGACTACGAGCTCTTGTAACCAAGCAGCCATCCACCGCATCCACAATCACCGGGATCGAGCCCTCATGACATCGTCTCCAGTAGGGTCCAGAGTCTAGGAGTCTAGAGGGGTTGCACGAGTCTGGGGATGTTCGATCCACCTACCGCCCACACGGTAGATTTCCGGATGAGTCAGAAACAACACTCTGTCATGGGCACCACGATGCTCTAACATAACCGATTTCGGAAGTGGTTCGGACAAAACACACTCGACTGCAACAGCTACCAACGGCACTACCAAAAGGACTGGTCAGTAGGGCTCCGGCTGACTGGAGAGCTTCCCACTGTCAAGAAGGGCCCGAGAAAGAACCACGGCTTACACTGTGTTCAAGGACTGCTCGCATTTTGTCTAAGATCCATCTGCAAGGCACAGTGAAAATCAGCCTGTCATCTCTTCACACTCATGGCTTCGTAGAGCTGAAGGCTATGCACGAAGCAACAATGGACCGGGCAAGCGTAGCTTCTCATGCTTGCCGCCATGTAGCTAGACAGGCAGGGTGCTGCGCAGCAACAACAACGACGACGACGACCACAACAACAACAACATTTCATTCACACGCAGCGGGGGAGGACTGTCTGTGGTGAAACTTATCGTCCACGCTTTGCGAGGGATCGACCTAGTGCCCTGCTTACTACTTGCGCGGTCACTCTTCACGGCAAGCCGTGCCTCAGCGCTGCACTTGCACACGCTCCGCCCCTCAGGGCTGCAAGCTGTGAAGTGGGAAGCGAATGTGTCTTCAGAGTCTTATGCGGCGTTATGATTTCGGCACTAGCTTGAACGCTAACCGGCTTGGTTGCAATGTATCACTGGCTGATTGGCAGCAGATCATTTTGCACTCAGCTGCTGGGGAGAAACTCCACCAGCTGTACACACATGGCAAGGGGAGAAACTCCTCCGATTGTTGGGGAGAGTCTCCTCCTAAGGGAGCATCTCCGCAAGGCGTCTGGCTCAGGAAGAGGCTGCCATGAGACGATCTTGTCCCTGCTGAGTGTTGCCACTGTTCCCATTTTGGTTTCTGGCTGCTCCATTCCCTCGGCCTCCGCTTCCTCGTCCCCTGCTTTTGCCCCCTCGCTGGTGTCCTCTGCCTCGTTGCTGGGGAGTACCTCCACCACGCTGTCGCTTCAGGGGAGAATCTCCACCTGACGGACCTGCGTCTCCCCAACATACCAGGCATCTGCTGTGCGTACAGCTGCACGGTAATGGCCACTAGTGGACTCCATTCCTAGGTGAATGATCACTGCCTCTACGTACAGAACGAAACTCGGGATGTGTGGTCCAGGAAGACAGGGATCTGGACTTGCTGTGGGATTGTGATGTGAGTGTGATCCTTAGCTTCACCTGCGAGTCTCGGCAAGGCTAAGCACACCTGCTGTGCAGCTTCTATGAGAGCACATGAGCGCTCCTGAGACGACCATGCCACTAGCATGTCCTGTAGGTTGGTCTTAATCGCCGTGGCAAGATGAATGGGAGAGCCCCCTTCTTCGTCCACTATCACGCCTTCCGGTACTGAGGCTCTAGTTTCCCACTGTCCAAATCTTGATGCAGAGAGATTCCGAAACACTTGCTGCAGGAACTCAGCAGAGTCGTGCTGGCCTCCGTCAAAGAGCCAGCCCATGGTGAGCTCCGAGAAGACTCTGTGTTCAGGGGTTATTCTCGCAAGCTGACTGATCCGGGATGCCTCTTGGAAAGTCGCCTCTGAAGGATCTGATAGCCAGTGGAGACACTGCAGACTGAGTTGGCATAGCAGTGGTTGCGAGTATTGGCTAGCAGGAGAAAGCCTTCCAGTCTAAACACGGGGTGAGGAATTCCTGGCGTTGAATCTGAAGGCTTCTTTGTGACTGTCTTCGCCGATGCCGTGGACTTTGCTCGAGTATATTCGCGGGGCTGCTTGCTGAGCTGCTGGCGCGCTACCTCCTGCAGTACGTGCACCTGCAGTAATGGAACGCACTGCTGAGCATGTCTACCCGGGGCATCCACACGAAGTTTGCAGTATCGACAGCTATCTCCTTTGTGGAAGAAGACCTTGAATTGATTGAGTCTTGGTTGGAGAGTTTTCTCCAGCTTGGCCATCACCTCAGGATGCTGCTTGTTTAAATGCTGTTTGGCTCCTTTCTGGCCTACGAGGACCTGACCACAGAGTGCGCAGTGTTCCATCAGGTAATCATGGAACGCCGGATTTCGAGCGGCGCCTTCTGGATTGTCCTGGGCATCAGACTGTAGACTTTCTACGAGTGAGATCCGGTTCTGTGCTTCTAAGGGTAGCTCTTCCTGCTGTCTAAGCAAAAGCTCTACCCTAGGGCAGGTAGATGCTTCGACATGTTTCCGCAGATAAAACACTGTTCGGAATGTTGCTCGACAGGCGATGCAAGTTGCTGACCCTGGCATTGAATGCAAAATAGGATCAAATTTGGGTCCTTTCAGGCACTGCTGAGAATCTGGGTGAGCCTTCTGCAGGTGGCGACGGAGTGCTCCGGTGCCAGAGAGACATGCTCCACATTCACCGCAGGTCAGAAGCCTATCCTCCACATGGTGCGAGGAGAAGTCCGTGGAGAGGCCTTCCAATGCCTGGCTAACTGCCTCAGCACGCAACTTATAGTGTGGGAGAAGCTGGGGATCGGAGTGTTGCTGTCTCTTTATAAACTGGGTCATTCTCTTTTGCAGCTGCTCCTTCACGTGAGGAATCCGTAATCTCCGGAGTAACTCCTGGTTTGATTCCTTCGTTTCCTGGGAGTAACTCCGCAGGACGAATCTGAGTTGGTACATCATGTGTGAATGGAGCTTTTGCAATCCCTGCTGTGTCATCCCCACCACGTGGAGTGCATACAGAGCAGAGGCCCACGCAGTTATTGTCCAAATCGACAGACGACGTCTGTCTGATAAGACTCGGTGGTTCCGAACTGCATGGGCTACTTCTGACATTGCAAGCTTACTGGATGACAGCCGATGTTTGAGAGTCTTCATTTCATAGTCGTGATAAGAAAGAATGACCCCCAAGTATGGGACCTGATAGCGCAGCGATATCAGCCTGCCCGAAGGGAGTTCAACATACTTCTCTCCCTCGACCTGGCGAAAGAGTTTCTTCCTAATGGTCGAGGCTGAGCCCCCTTGCAGCTGTAGCAGAATTGCTGACTTGGACGGATTGACCTTGAACCCAAGCTCTACCAGCTGATCCAGAAGCAGGTCGCAGTACCCTAGTGCTGTCATGAGGCCGGCCTCAGAGTCGAAATGCGACTGGATCAAGCTATCATCTGCGTACATTGTGAGGAGCTTCACTAGTTCTGCTGGGCTGATTTTCCCAGAGAGCTTCCTAAAGAGAAGCCCTGATGCAAAGGCGAATAAAGAGGGTGCTAGCTTACATCCCTGCTTGATTCCCCTGCGTGTGGCTATCTCAAAGCTCTGATCGCTGGCTGTCATCTTGTACAAGGCTTTGATGTGGAGATGGCCTACCACCTCTATCAGAAGAGGATCTGCTTGTTCGGCTTCCAGGGCCTCTCTTAATCGCAGCCTGTTTACAGTGTCAAAAGCTTTGCTCATGTCCACGCTCATGGTGAGACTGCCTCTGAGCTTGAGCCCCTGTTGTCCCTTACCTGCAGCCCTAGTGGTGAGGGCCTGTCTGAACCTGGCCTGGTCCACATGTGTGAGGGCCTTGCAGATAGCCTCCTCTGTGCCCCTGCCTGGGACAAAGCCGAACTGAGAGACGCCGGTCATTGCTAGCTGGAGGGTAGACTTGAGTCTCTTCCTCACGAGTCCGGCTAGGACCTTACCCTCAGGTGCTATCACCCCGATCGGACGGAGTGAGGTTGGTTTGTCTGGCTTCTTGGGAGGCTTTGGGAGCCAGGAGATCTGTGACGAGGTGACACTGTCCGAGAGCCTTCCTGCAGTGACTTCCCTATTAAGGGTGTCCGAGATTAGCCGGATTGCTTGGGGACCTAGGGAGCGCCAGGCTACTACGGGAGGACTCTCTTTAGGAACCGCCTTGCCCAGCTTTATTGTGCCAAGCTGTTCTTGCACTTCTTGCTCAGTGATGTGCAGGCTGCCTTGTATCCCTGAAAGCGGGAAGTCATCCCCTGCTCCAAACAGGTCTAGGGAATATTCCTCTAATTGTCTTCTTTCTTCCTTGGCAGTAAGGAAGCGACCCTCAGAATCACGAAGCTGAACTCTTTCCTGGGGCCTCCCCGACCTGAAGCGCTTGATTACCTTGTAAAGGGAATGACTCCCGTCCTGCTTGGACTTAAGCTCTGCCTGCTGGAGTTGTTCATCTATTTCCTGCCGCCGCCGCTCCTGCTTGTGACGCTTTGCTACCCTCGCCTGTGCACTTTGCTGGGAGAACGAGCACCAGCATCGGAACACCATACGGACCTGCAGCTCGGGCAAGAACTCTGCTAAGACCTTGACTGCTAGTGGGAGTGAGCGCAACACAGAGCGCTCTTCCCAGATGCTGAGATCTGATCTTTGTGCTGCTTCCTTTCTCTTGGGAAAGTGAGTCGCGAGGGCTGAGTTCATTGCTTGATGGAGACTCTGCCAGGTTTGGGGATGATCCTGAAGGAGGGAGTCTACCTCCCTGGCAAATGCCTGTATTTTCGGGGAACGGTGTCTGTAGCAGTCCTCCATTGCCTGCTGGTCATAGGGTTTTGAGGCTTGGGCGGAGTATCTCCTGCTGTGCCTCAGTTTACCAAGAAGGGGGAAATGCCTACTACCATCCCTCCAGGATGCAACTGGGAAGGTCCTTAGTGGCCGGCAAAACCTGGCGGGGCCTTGGGACTGTGCAATCCTGACAAACGAGAAGTCAATCTGTGAAACAGAGTTGCCTTGTTCGTGGGTGGCTGGTCTATGCACTCCCCAAGTGTTGGTTGCGACTAGCTGGTGCTCCGACAGTAGGGTCTGGAGATCCTTAGATCCGCGATGCCCGAGTCTGCAAGCCTGGATCGTGCATGGCCCTACGTGTTTGTTGTCGGTTTTGAGCGAGGAGTTAAAATCTCCTAGCACAAGGAGAGTGTTGCGATTGGGAACAGCTCGGATGGACTTACTTAGGGAGTGAAGGGTCTGCTTCCGGGTTTCCTTATTCTGAGCGACTGTCTCCTTAGAGCGCCAAACGTATTGATAGCAGCTGAAGACGTCCAGTGAGATGCCGTTGCTCGGCACCCGGACCTGGAGAACTCTTCCTGGAACAACCTCGTTGTAGCGAAGATCCTGTGACTTGCACAGCGTGGAGTGCACCATTATGAGGACCCCGGCTCCCTTCTCCCCTGTGGAACCAGAGCTGATCACGTGCCAGCCTGACTTGCTGAATTGCCGAGAGCCCCTCCAGTGTGTTTCCTGAATTGCTACCAGCTTCACATCCTGACATGCGGCACTTTGCAGTACGGAGAGTAACTCTTCCCAAACTGCTGTTGTGAGAGATCCTGCATTCCAGGATAGATAGCTGAGATTCTTATCTTCTGTAAATTTCGAAGGCCGAGTCCTTCTGCCGGGATTGGTGGGCTTTACATGTGCCGGAGCAACTCCAAGCTCTGTTGACGACATCGTCTTTCCCTTGTAGACCGCACTACCTTCAAGCAGAGCTTTACGTGCTGCCCTTTGATAAGAGCGTTTACCCTTCCCTTTAGGAACGGGCTGATGCTTGGTCGAACCACTAGGCTGTTTCGCAGCACTCATGTTGAGTACGGCTCCTGTCGGCTTCGCAATACCGACAACCCTCACCTCTGGGAGATGTTAGAGAGCTGTAAATCTAATACTCCCTCCCGGACTTGGGACCGGGACTGCTCAGGCGCTGACAAATGCCAGGGCAAGAAAGGAAAAAGGCAACTGTACTAGCCTGACCTTTCCTGAGCCGAGAGGCTTACAACAACAACAACAACAAGAACAACAACAACAACAACAACAACAACAACAACAACAACAATAACAGCAACCATGCAACAGGATACCCAAGCCCCATTCTTCGGAAAAACACTTGTCTCTCGGGAAGTGCGCTCAAGTGCGGCAACGGCAACGAGCCCCAGGAGAAAGCTCTAGTGCATGAGCGAGTGGCAAGAATTCGGGTGAGCTTCCTTTCCAGTCTTGTTGCCTGCCAGCCGAAGCAGCACTAAGCATTCCTGTGTGAGTGTGAGGGTGCTGCTCTAGAAAATGGGCGCAGCAAGCATGCATGCAAAACGATGGATCGCAAAATCCCGGCAGGCAGGGCAGGTACACCAAGCAGGTTGTATGGTCGCCAGTAATTAGTAGCTACCCGGAGCAAGTTTCACGGAACAGTCCTCACAAGAGCCATGACAAAATGACTGCAACCTGCTATTCGTGGTTGTGCAATGCTACTTCAGCACTACTGCTGCGCCCGTGAATGCAGCCAGCGAAATCAAGCGAAGAATAGGGGAAAGCCCACGTTTAGCACACACACACACACACAATTTTGGTGCAAGCCGGGTGACCGCAGAGGATGACAGCACCCCAGTTCTGAATATGACTTCGCTGCAGTACCAAGAACAACTATTGAAGCAACAAGAACGCACTTGTAACTTATAACAGCCCAGCCGAGCCTTTTGGAACAACCCGACCACAATGCTCGACTGAAACACATAATCACAGTACTTGCGCAGGAGCAACCATGAACGGCAACGAATATTCGAAGGACAGTATGCTCACGACTCGGGGACTGACTGCAGACCAGGCCGTCTTTCTTTCGGTACAGTGCTTGCTGACGCGTCTCAACATCAACGAAAACGTGGTTCAGATATGTAGAGAACTAATACCCCGGTTTTTGTACACAATAACGTCTATATACATTTGATGATGGTCGCTGTATACGCCATACGCATATTGCGCATGTGCACACACAGACAACCGCGATCTCACCGTAACAGCTAAGCAAGAAGCTCGAGAAGGCGCTGAGTCCCGGCCTCTGCCGCAGAGGCATTGGAGAGGGCCACGATCACCTGCCGCAGGCCAAACACTGGCAGCTAACAGCCGTCTTTAATCCCTGTGCTCAACCCTTGCGGGAAGCTCGATACATTCAGGCTTGTCGGATGTGACGCTGTGCCTGGCATTGGCACATCGTTTACGGCACCACATTCGGCTTCTTCAATGAAGTGAACCGCAGCTTTAAAATGCAGCACGTGCTTCTCAGAATTAGACTTAGAGCTGCACAGGATGTCGGCTACTCTGCCGTGCAGAAACTTGCAACTGACTGACAACTGCGAAAAATCAGAAGATCGGTAGGCGTGCACCAGCATGTTAATATCAAGTCGAGAGGTTCATTCGACTGTATAGGACTGCGTAAGGGAGTACATATCTCTGCCAAATACTCGCTGCAATTTGGAAGACTACATGTCAAGCTGTGCAGAAAGCAGACTGTGCAAACACCCAGCTGCAGCAATACACAATTATGGACGTGCTGCCCGACTGCCATACCACAGGACTTTCCTGCGGGATTCTCGTTGTAACGAATGTCGAATGCAATGCTGCAACAGTCGCCTCGTTCCAGAGTAAGTGAAGTGCAGTGAATGTTGAGATCACTACCCGCAGTTGCAACATGCAGGCCCGAAAGCGAAAGGCATTGGAAAGCGCATGGAGCCGAAGACATGAGCAATCAAGGGGCCGGCAGAGACTTTCACATAAATACGAGCGCTCAATTACTGCATGAAGCTGTTAGGCAAGTATTCCCGGTCAAGCATCTGGAGAATGCCGGAAGGATCGGCAGGAAGACTGGCCTCCAAAGGTTGGAGCGTTTGCTCCAACACCTCGGAAGCTTGTCGGGCCAGACTCGGTTGAGCGAGTATTGGGAATTGGGAGGTGGCATCACTACACGTCCCCACTTGCCACGACGTCCCCCCACGCACCACAGCCCAAAACCTCCATTTCGAACCGTAATTGGTTGGATTCGATCCAAGAGTCGGTGCCAAGCAGGTCACGCAAGGCAAACTTTCGATTGGCATCTCGGAGCGTGCACGGAATCACCACCTCGGGTCTCGGATTTTTGACATCTCCAGCGAATACAAGTCTACATACAAGCCTGGGAAGTGGAGGGATTCTTGTCGGTATTGGGGTTTGGCGTTTTGAGGAAGTGCCACCCGTGAAGTCCCAAGCGAACTAAACCACGAGCACAGCACTGCGCAACTTGCGCCACAAAGCCGCTTGCTGATGCTACACCCAGTCACCCAGTCATAGGTACAACGATCTCAGATTCTCTGATTCTCCCGGTGGTTCGTCTCCCGGACTCAGCATCTGAATTCTGAATCCTCAGAAGTCTCAACAGTTTGGGTAATAAGGGTCGCAGCTCCCTGCTCAGCATCTGAACGGGGAGTTGCAGTGGCAAGGATCCTCGTCTGCAACGACAAGTACCCATTCGACAGAAGCAGTGGAGTGCGAGAGTTCAGGTTCGGATGACAAAACGGTGGTTGCCAACTACGCTTGCAGGATCTCCAACAAAAGCCATGCGGGCATGCTGTTCCAATTCAATAGACGTTCCACTGCCTAAGCGCTACGTGCTTAGCCCTAAAAGCCGCAACGTACACTCCGGTGAGACCTGGAGAAATGGACACCTCTGCAGAACATCCAAAGATCGACTTCATTTCCTCGCAAGCACACAAGCCACAAGGAAGCATTTTACCACCATAGTCTCAGACGAAATCTGCAGTTTGGGCCCCCACACCCCCGAAATCTAAATCCCAAAAAGGCCCCCAGATGAGCGCAAATCGGAAGCGAGCCACACTAAGCTCCCCATGGGTTGGCACAGACCATCCACCTGTCAGCGGGGGGCGGTCTGCTCGGGAGTTGTCGCTCGCATGAATCGGCTTCGGCGCTGTCAGCTGAGGACATCCGGGCCCTACCAATTCGATCTTTTAAACTAACGTTCCGTTTTTCCCATACCCTTTATTGGGGTCTACAGTGTCTACAGTCTGGTCTCGGTCATGGAGATGCAGGTTGCGGTGTTGTTGACGCGGAATTTGGCATGTTGACTTCAAGGACCAACTGTTGAAAGAGACAGCAGGGCATCCCTAATGAATGGCTTGCTGACCGTTACCGGAAGTGAATCTGAACTTCTCGTGGGCTCAACTGAAGGAAAAAGGGCACCTACTGCTGCATCATCCGATGGCGCCGTGGGTCTAGGACAGGGTCTTGTGTAGTGGAAAATGTGCCAACATGAGACGCCGTCAGGCCGTAGGCACTTGCGTAGGGCTAACAAAACAAAAACCCACCTTCCAGCCAGAAATGCACGATGTCTAAACAAGCCTGGCATCAATGCTCCGAGCGGCTCAGCTCGAGTGTCGTCGGAACAAATGGCCCACTCTCCTGCTGCAACTCGGCACATATCTGACAGCTGCCGCTTGGAAAAAAATTCAATGAGTTTGATTTGAATTCCGAGAAGGAAATAGCACAACCCCAAATCCTACAAGCGAATCCTTACATCATGTATAGTACCTATTTTACACCCTGATAGGCGCTCGACGAGTTATCACCATCTCAAGGACAGGGAAACCTTTCCCGGAATGACTTTCATTGAGAAGAACGTGCTTCTCCGTCGTCTGATGCTTTGATATATTCGGCAAGCTTAGGCTTACCAGTGCAAGGCAGCACATGGCAAGCACTTGGGGCATGAAGGACGCGGCTGGCGGGAGCGGGAGGCGAAGAAGTCGCCTGGTCGCCTGAAACACTGGAAGAGCCTGGAAGCAATCTCATCTCCTGCTTGGCGCTCCGCCAGCGCCGGCAGAAATCGCCTTGGCTATGCATGAAAGGCTGGCAGAAGCCCTGAACCCAACTTCACAGTCCAAGAGAACGGAGTCTTCAATTCCAATCCGAAACTACCGCTAGATCACTGGCGAAACCAGTCATGATAAGTACCTTGCTCCGTTCGAACACAACCAGCAGGAGACCACAATCATGATTGTAAAATAGCCTGAGCGGCCCATCCCATTGGACTCCACGGCTGTGCTGGTGTCTACAAAGTATGACCAGACCTTGCAGCTGCTCGGGCTTCAGGGTTAAGGTTACCAATGTATGCTTGCGAACCTTGTAGTTTTGTGCCCCTAATTTGACTACACAGCCGTTGCTGATGCTCTTCCTACCGCTTGTGCCGCTCTTGTCTTCAGCACAATAGCTTGTCGGCGCTATGGCTATATCTATTTATGGTAGCACCCTCCAGAGCCGTATTATGGTAGCACGCACCAAAAAGCCGGCTTCCGGCTTCCGTGGCTAAACCTAGGAGTTGCTAAAGGAAGCAAGAACACCCGTGATTGCCAAAAATACATTTTGTTTACTACAGAGTTCCGACCTGTGATGCTGCCCACATTTTACTAAATGAATATGCAGGCAGGTGACGTCATGCTTGTTAAAGATGCCCGCACCACAGAGTAAACCTCGGCACTGAGGGTCTGGGGTTTAGCTTTTGAGTTTGGGTCGTTTAGGACAAGGCTAAGACCGTAGGATGCCACGCAATGACATCCGAACCCCAATTCTGTTTCTCTTTGGAGGTGTTTTTCCTCCAAGTCCGAGTATCTCGCATGGTTTTAGCCCAGGTGAAGTTTGCTTAGCAGTCAGCAGAGATTGTGGCTACAATGAGCTATTATCTATAACATCATAACATCTCTTGACTCTAGACATGGGCAGATGCAGCTACCCGCCTACACCGATAGCTGTGCGTACGTCTTCTTTTACCACAACCAACTAGTGTTGGAAAGAGATACGCGGCACCAACGGAGCACGCTTGATCGCGAGCCATAAACTATCATGCGGTTGCTTGTTGGCATATCCATACTTTCCGTTTCGACAGGGTTTATAGCTGTGTATGGAGGGAGGTCGTGTGGTGATTGCCACCACTTCATCGTCACGAACCGGCTCAGCAGGGGCAGGGACACCCTATTGCAGGAGGAGGTGGGGGGCAGAGGCTGGGAGTTGGGCAGCCGGAGAAATGCAGTCTGGGCGAGGGCAAGGGGCCCGGCATGTGTGTCAGATTGGCAGCGACGCTGAAGACGACGTCCGTGCTCCATCAAGACATGCTATGCAGGGCATGGCTGTCATGTTAAACATGCTCTGCCGAGGATTGGTCATCTTTCGTTGAATCGCTCCGCCACCATT